CTCGCTGAGCTCATAATGATACCACTGTTTTAATAAATGTGTGAAATAGCTGGATCCCTTTCTTACTTTACACATTTAATTAAATTATGTCTGCAGATTTTTTTTATTTGACTTGTGTGTTTAAACAATGAACACTAATATTTGAGTTTGTTTTAGTTCTGTTGAATGGTATTGCTGTGTGTCATATTTTGCAATCAGTACTAAAAAATATGGGGATTAATTCTGGGATTGTATCTTCAGCTTTGATTCGAAATCTGTCATATCGCTTTTTTTCCACTCTGTCATTTTAAACTGAACAACTCAGTTCTCAAATCGTTGGTTCTAATTTTATTAAGGCTAAAAATAGACCTTACAGTATAAAAATGTTTGCAGATCATTATTTATTTGCTTAATACGTTTTGAAATGCAAACACATTTCCTCCAGATTAGTCATGCTGAGACGTGTTCAGCATTACAAGATTTTCCATCTGCACTCAGAGTCATTGTAACATTTTAAGACTCTTATACTGCATCTTCATCTCAAGAGATGTAATAAAAACCTGAGGCCAGGTGTTCCCAACTCTATCATGACTTCCAGCAAAGCTAAGCTAACTGGTTGCCAGTTGAGGCCTAAAATGAACATGGGAGACATGACAGTTCATCTAACAAGTTTTTGTTTTTCGGGAGTTTAGTCACTGCTGATCAGAACGACTTGAAGAACTGAAAGATAAAGCTTTTTTAATATTCTCTCAAACTTTAGCATTTTTTAGCATTTCAGCTAAAACATACAAGTAACATGGAAATACACTGACTGACCAAAATAAAAAACTAAAAAAAACTAAAGGTCACCTACTTGTTTGGACCACAGCACACATTCTCTGTGTCATTGTTTGACAAGCTTCTGTAATGTCACCAGATTTATTTCATCCAGTGTTGCATTAATGTTTCACCAAGATCTTACATTGATGATGGTAGAGTCTGACCTTCTCCAGCACATCCCAAAGACTCTCCATGGACTCTGTGGAGCCAAACCATGTGTGAAAATGATGTCTCATGCTCCCTGAACCACTCTTTCACAATAAGAGCCCCATGAATCCTGGCATTGTCGTCTTGGAATATGGCCGTGTCATCAGGGAAGAAATAATCATTGATGGAATAACCTGGTCATTCAGTATATTCAGGTCAGTTGACTTCATTCTTTGAGCACAAACTTGCTGAACCTGGACCTGACCACCTACAGCAGCACTGCCCCCACAGGCTGTACAGCATCACTTCACCTGCCTCTCTTCTTACCCTGATGCACCCGTCACTCTGGAACAGGGTCAGTCTGGACTCATCAGACCACATGACCTTCTTCCATTGCTCCAGAGCCCAAACTTTACGCTCCCTAAGAAACAAACCTTTTTTTCCAGTTAATCAATGATTTGACCCTTCTCAAACAGACTGACATCTTCTCCATGACCACAGGATGTGTCTTTCTACCTGGTTGTTTAAGAAATGAGAAGCAACTCATTGCACCAGTTGGGGTTCAATAACTTGTTGCCGGCTGAAAGATAATCACTCATTCAGTAATTATCCAATAGGAGGCTCGTATTTGCTTGACAATGTTTTTTTTTTTTTTTGTATTTTATTTTATTTTATTGGCCAGGCAGTGTAAATCCAGCATTCCGTATCACTCACTGACATAGATCTCAGTGATCTGTTAAGTCAGTGATTCCCAACTAGGGGTACGTGTGCCCCTTGGGGTACATGAGCATATTACAGGGGGTACATGGAAAAATTTCCCAGGTGTGTAAAAAGATAAATAAAAATAGGACTGAGATTTGTAGGGCCCTGTGATTTCTGCAATGTGGAAAATGCAAACGGAGTCATGAAATTGACACAAAATGGAATCCAGTGTAAAATGTGAAATCTCACAGAATTTGCTCATTTGGGGTATTTGATGTATTTTGGATGCTGTTTTCTGTACCTGCCATTACTTGGTTTATTTATTTAATTACTTATTCACTTTCAAGGCAGCATTTTTATCTTTATGTTTAATTTGAGTTGAAAAGAATAAAATGCCTGACAATTAAATGCTCTAGGAGGTTAAATAAATAATTTTCATTTAATAATCAGTTATATAGTACATTATAGTTTTGGAGAATCCTCATTATGTTTGACTGAAGGGGTACTAGTGGTATGACAAAATGGCTCAGGGTGTACACAAGTCTAAAAAGGTTGGGAACCAAAGTGGCAAGCAGGCTCTCATAAACCACCTGTTCTGTAAAGTTAACGAAGTTATAGCCATTTCTGTGTTTTTTAGTATCAATGAGTATTTATGTAAGTACATTATTTTCATTCAATTAAATATATTTCAATAAAATTAGCATTTTCTAACAATTTGAAGCACATTTTACTCACATCTTAGAATTAATAAAACAACATAATCTGGCAGCTGGACCCACTCAGCCTGGAAGTGAAGAGATGAACTGAAGGTCCAAAACCAGAGAGAACTCAGTGGTCATCATGTCAGACTGGAAAACTGTCATTCATAAAGTCATTTTATGAAAAATAGAATGATTAGATTTTTATTCTAAACACATTTTACCTGATATGCAAACATTCAAAGTAAAAAAACAGCCGTTCATCTCCAACTCCAACAGACTAACTCTGTCTAAAAAACAGATTTCTGCTCTAAAATAAACTGCAAACATGATTAAAGGGATCCACCATTAGTTGTAACATTAAACTTTATTTGATAAACACTTATTTTAACTGTAAAATAAAGACTGTAAAAATACTGTAGGCTGTTTAGTTT